CTGAACTCATTTCATGAGAACTTCTCACAGTGAGTACTGTCAGTCTTCCTTCCTGTAAATACCCCACTTGCCCTGTATTTTGGATTTAGCCCAGCCAGCATTGCTATCTGTGATCAACAAAGGCACATACACAACTTAATGCTGAGTGTTTGATTCTTCACTTTCACTTCATCTACATTCAGATGTTTCTTGATTTACACTCTCCCTGAGTTCCTACAAAAATAAAACGTTGAAGGGAGTTTTTAAAACACCACGGAAAAACTTAGGAAAAAAGTTAGCTTTTAAATAATTTGACTCTGCCTACCTACTATAATCTCTTTGAACATTAGTTATGTCTTGATAAGGTAAGATTAATACCATTTGCTCTTGAGCACATAGAAGTGCTTTAAAATTTAAGTAGTAAAATGATTTTTTTCGTCTCCAAAAATTGAATGGCCAGGCCTACCTATTCCTAAAGGCCTCAAGCTTGTCCACTGGCCTATCTGCTGTCTAAGCAGCCTCAGAGCTTGCTCCCTGGATAGCATGCTTGCTTTCTCTAGACAGATAGATGCTCTGCCTTTACAGGTGACCAGGGACACATTAGGACGCAGCTCTTAATAAATTACAGGACTCTTTGAAGGCTCTAAATGTGAGCTAGGAAGATTCTGAGTGAATGTTAAGCTTCTTTTTTAATTTAAAAAAAAAAAAAAAGAAAGAAAGAAAGAAAGAAAAGAAAACCTGACTGGTAAGATTCTAATTCAAATAGTGACTCACCTTGTAATATTTCCGAAAATGGTGCTTTCATCTTTCTTCCCTGATGACTGAGAGAACTGCACTTAGAGTGTTTTTGTGAGTACTTCCTATGGCAGCTCATCCTTTGGAAATGTTCTCAGTCCTCGTGTGTGTGCTCTCATCTTCCTCATCACCCCCATTCTACACAGCTGGAGGTGAAGAAGATTTTAGGACAGCTCGAACTGAAGCCACTTCTAGAAACAGGACCAGGTTTTCCAGCCCTGGCTTTAGGAAATGTCAGAATATGTCTACCAGTTTTGAGTAGTTTCCTAATCTTCATTCAGCTTTGTTTTTGTTTTTTGTTTGTTGGTTTGTTTTTTGTTTTTTGTTTTGGGGGGGTTACATTTTTGCTATAGGGCATGTGTGCTCACTGGAGAGACAGAGACAGAGAGACAGAAAGCAATAAATCACCCCATCCCCTCTACCAGAAGAGATGGCTAAACTGCAATCTCTTCTCCATTTTCCTCTTGGCATTTTGGGCACACACACCCGCCCAGCAGGCATGAGTTTCAAGCCAGGTCTAGGACTCCAACCATAGTCAGCTACCTGGGAGTCCAGTACCTTAATCGCTATGCTACCTGCTGCCCCCTCCCCCAGTCCTCAGATTTTTAATAACCAAATTGATTTAGTCTCTTAAAGCAGTACATGCCATTCAAAGTACATAATGTTTTTGTTAATATCAGTTATGTTTTATTTTACTTTAAGAAAACACATGTTAAGAAAGTTACAGGGGAAGAGGGGGGAAAACAATTACTCAGAAGACCAGGCTAATTGCCATCCTTTCTCATGGATGTAGAACTCTTAGTCTCCTGGGATCCCAGGGGTTTCCATGGGTCCCCTGTGCCCTGCAGAGGCCTGATTGCCTCTTGGAGCCTAATCTGAGTACAGGGCTGATGCTCTCATATCTCCCCCTCCCAGAGTCCTATGTGGTAGTCATACCTCTGCTGATTTTTCTTTCAGAGCCATGGCCTCCCCAGCTGCCCGGGACCAGTTTTTACGTCAGATGGAACAGATTGTAGAAGGAATCAAGCAAAGTAGAATGAAGGTCAGTTGGCTTCTTTTCAGTAATACAGCCCAGGTTTCCTAGTGGTGATAGAGAGGGTCGTTAGAAGAACAGGTTCCCTCTGGTTTCCTGAGTATGTGTTCTTCATCCTAAAGACATTCTTTCTACAGAGGGCCCCCACCAAGCATCTGGCTGCAGTGGCCAGTCCTGCTCCCCTGGGCTGCCTGCCAGTGCTTCAAAGGCTGCTGGTCCTAGCACACCTGCTGTGTGGCTAGCACTGTCTGCAAGCCCTCTGAAGTGAGTAGTATTGCCCCATTTTATAGAAGAGGAAACCACCTTTCAGCAGCAAGTTTCCTCTGTTGTCTAGTATCACTTCCTGGGGGCCAGCAGGTGATTGTGATGAAGGCGTTATTACCACATGACTGACCATGGTTCAAGTCCTAGACCTGACAGCCTGAAAATTACACCAGGCATATGTGCATGCGTAACTGAAGTCCTGAGAGGAGACTGGAAGAGAAGGCATTGTGGCGTGCCCTTAACCCCTTGCGGGGTGCTTTCTCAGTTTCCCTCTCTCTATTTCTTTCCAGTGATTGCATGTGCCCTATGGGAAAAAAAAAGCAGAATCACTTCCTCATTTGTTTCTGAAATTTCTGCCAGTAGAGATTCATTTCCTAGCAATCTTAGGCTCTTGAAAGCATCTTAGTTTTCAGGAATTTCCTGTATAAAAAATAATCACTGAACTGAGTTCTGCCAAAGTGAGAGGAAATTGAGCCTCAAAAGTCAGAAAGGGAAAGAAGAGGAATGGAGAAAGGCTGAAGCACCAGGAAGAGCTTTACAGGCAGTACCTCATCTGGGGGCAGCACAGGCCTTTTCCCAAACCAGGTGTCTCTGCCTGTGGCCCTGCTTTGTCACCAGTCAGGTGGACTGCAGGCCACTTCACCTATTGGTGTCCTCCTGCCACAGCTTCCTGCCGCTATTCCCAGGGTGATCCTGGCCAGTGCTCCCAAATAGCACTGACTTCAGTCCTGTGTAAAAAGTTATCACCTCAGGGAACCAGCAGTTAGCATAATGGCTATGTCTCTGGATTTTCACGTAGTTGACTGCGGTTCGCGTCCCGGACCCAGTGGCTTAGAACTCACGCCAGGTGCGTGTGCGTGCGTGCCCAAGATCCCGAGAGGAGAATGGAGGAGAAGGGATTGCGGCGTGACCATCCCCCCTGGGGGGTGATTTCTCACTTTCTGTCTCTCTCTGTCTGTCTGGCGAGCACACGTGCCCTATAATAAAAAACTCAAAAAAAAAAAATGTTATCACCTCAGACAGGGGAGGCACCTTCTGAGGATTTAGGTTCTCTCCTCTCAACGTCACAGGTCACTGTGCACCAGTGAGTGATCCCGGAATGTAAACACTTCAAAGAGAATGGCCTACAGGTTCTGTCATCATAAAGCCCACTTAGGAAAGGTAGACATTCAAGCCACCTGCAGTCTCATCTCACAAGAGATGAGCTAAGGGTAGACGCATCCATATCCCTTTCCCGGTAGAAAAATATTATTAATCTCCCTATTAATGACTACAATAAACTGATATTAAAGGAGAAAAAAAATCACTAGTGCCAAGAATGAGTTTTCGTTTTTCCCCAAATTTTTCTGGAGCGCTCATGTACCTGCCAGAAAGAAACAGAAAGAAAGCACTCCCCACCATGGGTCATGCTCATGCCGCAGTGTCCTCTGTCTCTCTCTATCTCTTCCTCCCTTCAGGATTTTAGGCACTCATGTACACTCCCCACCATGTTTCACAGGACTCAAACCATGCTGTTGCTGTGTGGAAAATAGCCGCCTCATTTACCACACCACAGACCAGCCTGACGAGAATTTCTAGCCAGATTGATCAGCCACAAACATGAGAACAAACTATGCACCAGGCGCTGTCTTGGAGAGAGCAAGTGGGGTTTCCTTGTTGATCTGAGGAGTAAAGTAGGCAGAAGTGAGAGAACCTGGCTTTGGGAAAACGGTCCTGACCCGTATTGCAGGGCAGTGGACAGCTGCGCTCTGCCGTCACTCCTAGGGAGTGCTTTCACTCATCGTGAAGGACAGCAAGAATTTATTGGGTTTTTGCTTTGGCTCCTTTCCTGTTTACTGGGAGCTGCATTACTGGGGGACATAATGGGCCTGGTCTTTTAGTCTCTCCACTCTTCCCCAGGCTTCATGCTGGCCAGTGAAGGACGCTGCCCCTCTGTCTCTTTGTCTCACTAGATGGTGGGAACCAGGGCAGAGCAGGCTATTTGTCAGATCTGCATCTTCAGTGGCTAACGTAGCACCTTGCCCATGGTGGGTACTCAGAAACTATTTGTTGAATGAGTGAATTCATTCAGCAGACTCTAAAGGAAGTTTTCAAAAAGGGTTCCATATAGGGTTTGAATATCAATTGGCATCTGAATCAGTACTTATCTTCATGGATATGTTTTCCTGTCTTTGATTAATAAAAAAACAAATATGGCCCTCCCTAAAATGGTGTCATGATGGCTCCTGCTCCCTAGATTGGGCGGGGGAATCCATGTCTTTTCAAGCACAGATTCCCTAGAACTGGCAGCTTCAGGGTGTCACATGGTAGACCAGCACTGGGACCAATTAATAGAACAGATGTTCACGTTTCATCCAAGGGTTTCTAAGTAGAGACAGTCACATACCAGCAAGTATTGTGTCCCTACCAACAGGAGGAGAGAGCCTGGGTCTCTAGAATACACTGAGCCTGTGCTTGGCAAAAGGAATCATTCAAATCCCAGTCCCAGGGGCTTAAAAAATACTCTGGATGTGTGTGCTTGCCCCGAATCCCAACAGGAAGGAACAGTAAAGGAGAAGGAATTGTCGTGTGACCTTGCCCCTCTGCAGGGAGCTTATGTGTGCGCTTTCTCTCGCTAGTGAACACTTGCTGCCTCTGGCAGTTAAAATCTGTCTGTTCATAGAAGGAAAATACTAGAAAGAAATCCATGAAGATATTAATGGTTGCTTTTTGGACATTGCCACTAGCCCATGGTCAGAACATACCTTTTTACCTCCATTTCCCAAATGTTTCAACAGATGGAAAAGAAGAAGCAGGAAAACAAAATGAGAAGAGACCAGTTGAATGACCAGTACTTGGAGCTGTTAGAAAAACAGAGGCTTTACTTTAAGACTGTGAAAGAGTTCAAAGAGGTAAGAGAAGGGCTGGGCAGGGATGTCGAGGCTGAAGTGGGATTTATACTCACCTCAACATGAGCCTTTGAGAACCAGAGCAAGTTTGGTTTTCCTCTGGTCCGTAATAGAGGTAGCAAGCTGGCAGTGTGATCTGATAGGAAAACACGATACCTAGGGAGCTGAAGATTGCATTGTTCTGTGGCTCTAATTAAAAGGTCTAAGACATCACATCTTTTTCTCATTTTCTAACAATAAGCTTATTATTTTCACAAAAAAAATGGCACCATCAACTGTCATCAAGTACCACCTGGATTATTATGAATTCAGACAGTCTTCCCCTCTGCCAATCTTAAGATAGAGAAAGACCTTAAGAAACTGTGTGTGTGTGTGGGGGGGGGGACCAGCAGGTAGCATAATGATTCTGTAGCTGGATTCCCATGTAGTCAATCACAGTTCAAGTCCCAGACCTGGTGGCTTGAAACCCATGCTGAGTGTATGTGCATGCATGCCCAAGATCCAGGAGAAGCCATGACAGCCTGGCCATCTCCTCTGGAGGGTGATTTCTTGCTTTCTTTCTCTCTCTGTCTCTCCACTAAGCACATGTACCCTATAGCAAAAATCTCTCTTAAAAAAAGAAAAAAAGAACCATGTGAGAAGAGAGAACACTGAAGTGTGACTGACTCAGGTTCAAACCCCACCTTTACTACTCACTTGCGGTGCACATTGGGTAGTGACCTAATCCCTCCAAGCCATGGTTCCCTCCTTGGTGTATGGTGATGAGCCAGAAGAGAGAGAAAACATCTAGCACCATGTCTAGAACTTACCAAGACCCAGTTAATTAAGTGAATTTTGTCTATCTCTGTTTTTCCTCTCTACTATTTTTTTAATTATTAATTTTATTAATTTTAACTTCATAATTATGCAAATCTTTTTTTGAGAGGTTTTTGCTATAGGGCATGTGCGCTCACCGGACAGAGAGAGACAGAGAGGCAGAAAGTGAGAAATCACCCCCCAGGGGGGATGGTCACTGCAATCCCTTCTCCTCCATTTTCCTCTTGGGATGTTGGGCACACACGCACACGCACCCGGCATGAGTTTTAAGCCACTAGGTCCGGGACTTGAACTGCAGTTGACTACATGGGAGTCCAGCAACATAGCCATTACACTAACTGCTGGTCCCAGTAATTATGCAAATCTTGAGATCATCTGTAATCCCCTTTTTTAATTTATTTTTTATTTATTATCATCATAATCTTCTTTATATTTCATTGAATTGCATGTAACTTTACAGTGTATTACTCTGCTTTTTCCAAAGGGAATGCCATGCATGTCAGTCAATACTGAGACATTAAAATCCCCACTTCATCATGCAGTATCTTTTCATTGTTTTTCCCATTCATTATTATTATTATTCCAATTATTTTTTAACCAGTCAATCACTATTTCTCATTTTGCTTGTAAAAAGACTTTACCCATCATGAAATACTTCTCAGACCAATCCAGTTGGGAATGCTATACACGTCATCATCAATAGATAGTACCCCCTATCTGTGTCCACTAATGTCATGCCTCTCTATTTGTTCTCTTGCTATCCTTCTCTATACTCTACTATTGAGCAGGGTTACCCTTAATTGTTCTATCTACCCTTAAGAGATTTTTTGGAAAGATCATTTTGTTACTTGCCAGGATCTAACTGCTTTATTTTCAGGAATTCCTTCTCCCCTTACTAACCTAAATCCTTGTGACTGTGGTGAGTTTAGAGGCTACTGAAAACAGGAGTTGAAGGTAGGTTGTGTCCTGATGTTCAGTCTCTAGAATAAAAAATGTAATCTTTTCATGCCAGTAATTGTGTTCTTATTTTTTAAAACATGCCTCTTCCTCTAGTCCCCACTTTTTCCTTCTCTACTTCTCCTTCCCTTTTTCTGTGATCTGACTTGTGAGAGCCACAACCCATGGGTATTTCAAAATCTGTCAACCTTTGAAGTATCCTTCTAGCTTCGACTATGCCCCTGGCATAAACCAGCTTGTAAAACAGACCTGATTCCTCATCTTGACGAGCTTATATTGTGGTGCAGGAGACAAACCAAAACAGGCAGGAACCCTAGTGGACGAGTAATAACAAATAAGTAACGGTCTCAAACTTTGCCGTGAGGGCACCAGCTTGGATGATGTGGCCAGGAATGGCCTCTGCAGGGTGAGCAGGAGAACACAGCCTGGGGGCAGCACATGCCACACCTCAGGCTGGCGGCTCTGGGAGAGCGCCTGGCCATATTCCTCCCTGAGAGCCCCTTGGGGCTGGCAGAGGGTACAGCTGAAGTTTTGGAAGGGCCAGTGAGTGAGCTGACAGGGAGGTAGTAGCACCCTGCTGTTGCCTCCACAGCTCTTTCTTCCCTTTAATCCAAATAACTAGCAAAGAGGAAAGGCCCAGAGGAGAATTACATTTGAAAAGTTGCTTGGACATGCCAGCACTGCCCTTTGATGATGTAGAAACAAAAAGTAAATACGCTGAGGAGAAGTATAAACTGTCAAAACCAAAGCAAATAAAAGCGAAAATGGAAAAGCTTATTCTTGCAGTGCAGGTGCTCAGGGTGAAGGCTCAGGATGGCTCTGAGGAGAACAGTGTCACTGGCCGCAGTTAAGTGTCAAGAGCCATGTGTTCTCTCCCACACAGGCAGTCACCCTCACATCAGAGAAGGGGGTGATGGTGAGGTTCCTTCAGGGCCAGCAGACCCCAAGACTAGGTGCTCACCCATAGGTTTTCTTTAGTCTAAAGCAAGTTTTAAAGGGGGGCAAGGGGTAGTATGCTCCTACATATTTCATCTAAATATATTTAAAATTTTTTTTAAATAGCATATTTTCTTGGTTTTGGGTGTTAAAATTGCCTTTCTCTTGTTAAATAATGATGACAGGGGTAGTCTTTTTTTTTTTGCTGTTCCACCATTTTACCCAGCAAAAATTTAAAATTGGCAGCCATGTGTCAGCATGGCTTAAATAAACCTCCTCTCCCAAGCTGCTCTGAGGCAGGATGTGAAGAGGAGGTGGGCTTGTTTGCTACTGTCCCCTCACCTCAGACCTTCAGCCAGAGTAATCCTGCTGTGAGAGAAAAATGGTTTGAAAAATCAGACTTCATGCCAGGGTGGAGTCTTTTTCCAGAATCCTCTGTCCAGACCTCTTTGCCTGTCTCTCCTCCCCACTGCAAAGCCTTCCTACTCCTGTGTTTTGAATTCCCACCTGCCCTCTAGCACTTATACAGGGCTATAATTACTCTTTACACAAAACACAGTATTTTATCTGCAATGTGGTCTTTTGCCACCTTAAGCAGTTGCCCTTTTTGCGTTTGGTTTGCCCCACCAGTGATGCTCTGTGGGCACCAGGGAGACACCAAGACATACCCGCATCCTGACTCCCAGCCGCACCTGCTGGGAAACAACCATCCCGTGAAATGCAATTATGCCTTAATTGCAGTGTTATATTAATTAATCATAAGCCGCTTTTCCTAACGAGGTCATGAAACTAAGGTTTAAATACTAGCATAGCACTGATGAATGCAGACTCTACATTTTTATGAAGCTGGTTTTAGGGTCCCTCATCTTGCGTGAGTTGAGCTCTCTGGTAAATACCGTATCTGGCACATAGCGAGCTGGATATAGTCCTCAGCAAGAAAGAGACAGAGGCAATGAGACATTTTTCCTTTTCTGTTAGAAAGAAATACCTTCAGGGCCTTTTTTGTATTTGCTTTGAAGAGACAGACAATATCATTCTGTAGTCTCCCGGAAGGCTTCTAGCAGATTGCATGAAATTTAATCAGTGCTCGCACACACCCTGTGACAGCACAGGATGTCTTCACTGAAAAATGCAACACCGTCTCGGTGTGGTGTAACATACCGCACTGCCAGTAGTGGGGAGTCTTTCCCGCGGAGTGTTGGGATTTTTTTTCGGAGTGTTGGGATACTTCTGAGTTGTTTTCACCTAAACTTGAAAGGTGAAGTGGAATGACAGCTGAAACTAATGTGTTTATTTATTGTTTTATATTTATACTATGGAAATCTTCAAAAACACACAAAAGTAGGGAGACTAGTATAACAATGTGAGAGTATAACTACCTGCCTGTTCTTTGTTCCATTTCTTCTCCTCTACTTTTTTCTTTTTAAAGCTAGAACTGCTTTCTCCCAAGCAAATCTCAGTAATTCATTTTGAAAAGGAAAACTTGCTCCATAACTTTTCTAATAGAACAAATGTAACTCAGTACCACCTTATTTTTCTTCCATTCCCCCCCTGCCCAGGAAAATGTAATGCCCTTCTTATGTAGAAAAAGGTGTTTAAAAAGTGTCAGAACACCTTGCTTTTGACAGTCTGACAGCCTTCATCCTTACTCCTGGCCCAAAAGCTCAGCTCTTCCCCAGCTCTCCTACTGGAAAATAGATCTGTAAACCCAGTAGGTGAGATTTACTAAGCACTCATCTTAGTAAAGGCCAAGACCAGTGCAGCCATGTTGCCACAGTGCTGCCAAGAGCACAGGGCTTGCAAAGGTGGAAACATTGACTTTGGGGTCCCTAGACGCAACAGGCTCAGGAGGGGGAAGAGATTTTCTGACACACCAAGAGGATCTCCAGGAAAGCACTGCAGGGGCCTAACCACTGCTACATTGGGCCCTGTGTGCTCTGCCTCCTGGGCCCTTCCCAGTAGTTAACACTTTCCCAGTTTAAAAGTGGGGCCAGCAGGTGGCATGGTGGTTAAGGTGCTGGACTCCTACATGGCTGACTGTGATTCAAGTCCCAGACCTGGGATCCTGAATATCACACCGGACTTGTGTGCATACATGCCCAAAATCCCAGGAAGAGAATGGAGAGAAGGAATTGTGGAGTGGCCATTCCGCCTGGTGGGGGGATTTCTCACTGTCAGTCTCCAGTGAGAGCATGTGCCCTATGACAAAAGCCTAAAAAACAAAGTGGGCCTCCTTGCACCCTAGCCCAGGGAGGGGTGAGGACTACTGGAGATATGCTAGCAGATGGAGGTGCTCGGAGCAATCAAGCCAGTGAGAACAAGGGGTATGAGAAGCTTTTGAAGATGTCCAAAGACAGGAATGTAGAATGAAGCAGAGGTGACTTTTGCCATGGATGCCAGATCTCACAGACAGAGAATGGGGCTCAAAACTATCTCAGCACATTGGGGCCAGCAGGTGGTGTGGTGGTTAAAGGCACTGGATTCCGACCTGGCCAACTGCAGTTGAGTCCCAGACATGGCAGCTTGCTTTCTTGCTTTCCCTTTCTCTCTCTCTCTCTGTCTTCTTTCTGGTGAAATTAAAATATAGCAGGGCCACTGGTGGCCTGGTGGTTAAGAGTGCTGGACTCCCACATGGCCGACCGCAGTTCAAGTCCCGGACCTGGTGGCTTGCTTTCTCACTTTCTCACTCTCTCTCTTACTCTATTCTTCTTTGGCCATAATAAAATAAATAAATAAATGGATAAATGAAATTAAATAATTTAAAAATAGAATTCTGTTAAAAAATAATATAGCAAATGTAAATAAATAAATAATTATTTAAAAAATAATTTCAAAGTTCTTTAAAAATAAAAAATCTCTGAGCACATGATTCATAGAGCTAGTCCTTTGTCCCATGGATGTCCATGATGAGTATTGTTTATCTTATTTTTTATTTTTTGTTCCTTAAAGCTATTCTTAGCAATCACTGTTTTTAGAGTAAAAATTTGTCTTTGTGAATGGCCTAATGTGTAAGCTATTAATAAAACTGCTTTTTCTTTTTTTTTTTTTGGAGAAGTTTTCACTATAGGTCACATGCGCTTGCCAGATAGACAGAGAGAGACATAGAGACAGAAAGCGAGAAATCACCCCCCAAGGGGGATGGTCACGCCGCAATCCCTTCTCCTCCATTCTCCTCTTGGGATCTTGGGCACGCACTCACACGCGCCCGGTGTGAGTTTTAAGTCACCGGGTCCGGGACGCGAACCGCAGTCGACTACGTGGGAGTCCAGCATCATAGCCATTACGCTAACTGCTGGTTCCCAAAACTGCTTTTTCTTAATCACTCCTTAGGCTGCTGTCTCTACAGCCCTTTCCTCCTTTCTCACCATAATAGGCCCAGACTGGCAGATGTGCATCTGCTTGCTGCTTCTGTCCCCTTGAAGATTTTAGAGACTTCATGAAATCTTTTGGAATGACAGTGCCTGGTCTTCTCATCCTGTTTTCAGTCTGACAGCCCTGAAACTGAGTATTATAGCTACTTGGGCATACCAGTAGCAGTCTGCAAGGAGACTAGTTGGTCAGCAGGTCTCCCATAGAGCAGGGGACAGGGCCACGAGGCCAGCTGGGCCTCATGTGGGTGCTCATGTGGTCACCACCTCTCTCTGCTTCCTCTCCAGGAGGGCCGCAAGAACGAGGTGCTGCTGTCCAAGGTGAAAGCCAAGGCCTCCTGAACCTTCCTCAGCTGTCGTCTGTGTCATTGAGTTTTCTTTAACACCATAGATCGACTACAAGGTCATGAACTGCTTCTGAAAGCGGCTAGAGGACTGCAGGTGTGATGATTTCAGTGCCCTGTTTCAGCTCCGTGCTGGCCGTTGTTGATGGGATCAAGCAGTGCAGACGTGGGTCTAAGCCAGGGTCACTCGCTCCATCACGTGAAGAAACGCGACAGGACTCGTTCTCTATGTCAGTTCAACTTTTAGTTCTCCAGTTAACATTGCGCTTACAAAGGTACCTGTATCTCTACAGACTCTGAATAAAGAAGAATTTATTTGTTCAGCAAGTTAATTGAGCAACCACTGAAATGAGCACTGAGGGAGGCCCTGAGAAGTATAACAGAGAAGGCCCTGCCCCTCAGACATCCAGCAAGTGGCCTGGGAGAAGGTGTAGATCAAACTATCTACTGAATGTTGATAGCTTGGGCCCTTCACCTGGTACCTTTGGTTCTCGGCCCTCAAGGAGCCAGCTAGCAGGCATGGGTGATGTAGCAATCAGAGTGAAAATCCAGTCATTGGTTTAACCCTTGTACACTACACAAGTTTATTTCATTAAGAAAAATCTTGAAAATGGGCCTTGAATTGAGGACACTTCAGTAAGAGTTACACCTTTCCCATGCCTCACTGTGATTTGAGTCACAGCCTACATGTAGACTGTGCATCCCCTCGAAGAAGGTACTTTCTATGCCTGCACTTCTGAGCAAGGAGAGAGACGTGCATCCGGTCACTGCAGTTGGGGCAGGAATAGCGTCAGGAGGAAGAACAGTTGAGGTTTGTAGAGTCCAGGGAGACTTCATGGAGGAGTCAGCATTGGTCTATGTCATAAGTGGGAGTAGGATGCTAATAGGCAGGAAGGCCATGTTTGATAAAAAGCATGCTATTATTTCTAATTCAAGTGTTCAGGAGAGTATAGGCACACGGACTGGGGGCGGGGGGGGGTGGGG